TACGTACTCTCTCTCTCTACTCTCTCTCTCTCTCTCTCTCTCTCTCTCTCTCTCTCTCTCTCTCTCTCTCTCTCTCTCTCTCTCTCTCTCTCTCTCTCTCTCTCTCTCTCTCTCTCTCTCTCATGCCGTGCAAAGATCAATACATATATATACTATAACTTTTGTGTTGTATTTTAACATATGATTGATATACAGTATGTAATAGTTTACGAAACACCAAACTTTTGATATAAAATAAAATGACCAATCAACCTCATTGATCCTATTTTGAAGGTCCTGTTTCTTTTTATTTTGAGTAATTTTATCGAACATTCTTCTACGTACCTTTCAAACTTTGCAATGATGAACGATTAAGTACATTCCTCTTGGTGCATAGTTCTTTTTCAACAGAGGGACTTGAACTTAAAAAGAACCTGATCGATCCGAACTTTTTAACCAATTTATTTTTTTCTTTACTTTTCTTAGATCATCCATATATATGAGCCGTTAGCAATGCATCATATGATCATTATCATATGATATGTGTGGCTCTTGTTCAAGTGATAGTTAGTATTATTACTATCTATATATTATTATTTGTTATATACTGTACGGTTGCTTTTTTCTCTTTTATATAGGGTAACGAAATATTACAGAGATAGGATTGCTTGTGTGTTTTTGGGGTCGTCCACTACCACTCCTACACTCATTTGTCTCATGCGTTTGTTTCCAGATGGACTCACGTGAACTTCTTATATTTATTGTTTTTGGTTTATGTTTCCCAATTTCCACGAGTTTGACAACGACGATAAATTATTGTTCATATAAGTTTTAGATCTCAACCATTGTAGTTCGAGTTAAACAAATTTAACCAGCAAAAGTACGTAGCTGATCCATATATCGGTTATCTAAAATTTATGTATAGATCTCAACTATATAGTTATATTCTTTATCATTATTTCTTACAAGTTTCTAACCATGTCATATCATTTTTTAAATTCTTAGTACTGCAATAACTAATGTCACCAATATTCAAACCGTTGATTGCCTCTAAACATTGGACATTTATTTCATGCACTTGCCCTAAATTGTATACATGCAGTAGGGTCTATTTCCCTTAAGGGTTTTATTAATTCTATTAAAAACTAGTAAATGTGAAAATTTTAGTAAGAAAGAATTTTTTTAATATCTTCCAAATTTATTTTTTCCAGCTAATAACTTTATTATAAATCGTTTGACATCGTTTACAAAAGGTGCAAGAAAAGTTGGACATGAATGATACAAATTATATTCACTAGAGCTCTCGAAAGAATATTTTGCTAGAATTTAAACCCCCCTCCCAAAAAAAAGTACTCATCAATTACATTCATAAAAATTAGGTTTGTTGATTATGCATAGAAATGCTATTTTAATGTCAAAGAGAGATTACATTTAAACCCAAAAATAAAATTAAGAAAGAGAGTTCACGTATGTTGACCTATTGCATGTTTTATGAAAAGCTGGCTCTCGACTTGAAAGAATATAAATTCAATAGAAAGAGTAAAAAAGAAAAAATTCTATCTTTTAACGATAAATAATTATAATTTCAGATTCATGTACTTTCATCTCAATAAAAATACATATACAGAAACGTTATGTTTTTATAAGAACAATGGAGAAATATTATATGATCATCATCCTAATCTATCTTAAAATTTCATAAGTTAATAAATCTCTCTCTAACGATCGATGACGATTGATGGAGATGGTCTAGGTCTAGGATCGAAATATTGGAACTGGGACGTGGCCGTCCTCTGGCTATGGGAAGCAGATGCGGAGGTGATTTGATCCTAAGGTTGATCAAGTAGTATTGTAAGAAAGGATCAATGTCTTTTTTTTTCTTTTTGGGGTTTTGCGGAAAACAAAGAAAAATAAAGTTAAACCAAAAAAACAGTACTGGTTGGTGGCTGTCAGGCTGTATGATATAGTTTTAATTCAACTTTTACTTGTTTTTCCTTGTTAATACCATACTTCCTTTTTAATACATATTTTTTTCTTTAGTATCTTATACATCAAATAGCACACGAATTAAATAATGATTTATCCATATCTTCTAAATTACTTCAAATTAGTTCTACTGTTAGTGATAAGTTGATATACGTACATATATAGTCATACACATATACACAAACATTTGTTTGTGCTCGTGGCCTATTGCCTTTAAAAAGGGTCAAACATAGTATAGCTTGAATCCTTTTTTACTTGTCTTTGATCTCTCCTAATCTCTCGTCTTCACTCTCTTTTTTTTTGTGTTTCGTCGATCTCTATCGATCATGGATTCGAATGTTCATTACACTATAGATCTCAATAATGAAGATCAACCTTTTTTCTCTTCTCTTGGATCCTCTCTTCATCAAAATCATCATCAACAACAACACTTTCACCACCAAGCTTCGTATAATCCCTCATCTTCAATGTCACCATATGTTTCCTACTTCCCTTTCTTGATCGACTCTCACCAAGGCCAAGATCAAGTATATGTTGGGTACAACAACAATACTTTTCATGGCGTTCTTGATCATACCCATCTCCCACAACCTCTCGAGGTATATTTTTAAATGAACTTGTATATCAGTGTTAATTCTTGATGATCTTGGAGAAAGATCTATTGTATTTGTCTATATATAGTTAGAAAATCAAATTATAATTAACCCAAACTTGTATATGAAAATTTCAGACCAATAAGTTTGTATCGGATGGTGGTTCAGCATCAAGCGATCAAATGGTGCCAAAAAAGGAGACACGACTTAAACTGACAATAAAGAAGAAAGATAATCATCAAGACCAAACCAATCTTCCTCAATTCCCGACAAAAGGCAAGACGGGAACTAATACCCTCAAGTGGATTTCTTCAAAGGTGAGACTGATGAAGAAGAAAAAGGCAAACATTACCACCACCGACAGCAACAAACAACATGTTAATAACGACCAATCCTCGAACCAAAGCAATCTGCATGGGGATCATGATCATCTCAAGAAAATCTCAACAAATGATCAGTACAATATTATTGTCAATCAGAATGGTTATGATGGAAGCAATGATTGCGTAGTTAGGATTTGCTCCGATTGTAACACAACCAAGACTCCTCTTTGGAGAAGTGGCCCTAGAGGTCCCAAGGTAATCAACCACATCTGTTAATTAAAATATATATGTCTAGCTATGTTTAATTCCATATTTTATACTTGATTATAAGCTCTTACATAATTAACGTCTCTTTATAGTACTAATTAATAGCAAAATAATATTCGAAAATAAAAAATCTCTAAACAATTTACAAGATCACTAACTATATATATTTTTGTTTTTGTTTTGTTATTGTAGTCTCTTTGTAACGCCTGTGGAATAAGGCAAAGGAAGGCCAGGCGGGCTGCAGCAACCGCAACCGCAACCGCATCCGCAATCTCTAACATATCACCACCGCTCCTAAAGAAGAAGATGCAAAACAAGAACAAGAGATCAAATGAATTTCATAATCTATCCTCTCCTTCGGCTAAGAGAGTGATCCCAGTGAAGGAGACCACATCAGCCAGGGATTCGGTATTGTCATCCTCCTCCTCTTCAGACAAGTTTTATTTCGATGACCTAGCAATACTCTTGAGCAAAAGTTCAGCTTATCAGCAAGTATTCCCTCAAGATGAAAAGGAGGCTGCCATTTTACTAATGGCTCTATCGTATGGAATGGTTCACGGATGATTATTTCAATTGAAACTCACTTCTTAAGAAATTAGGGAACCACTCCAATCAAGTACTATAAATCATACCATAATATCTCATAACTAATAGTATCTAGATTACTTGTTAGATTAAAGTTTGTTCTTGCGGTGATATAGTGATGAGTCCAACTTTATGATGATAAGAGAATGTTTTGGGTTTAGTAGAATTTTGTTGTAAGGCTTAATGTTTCTATAATAAAGCTTGATATCACGATTCACGAGAATGTGTTTGTTCTTGTTCATTCACATGTTTATTGTGTGTTTTAAGATTTGAGAGTTGATATAAGAATTACTTTAATATATTTTAATATCTCGTCAAATAATTTATTTAATGAAAATCTTGTTAGAATGTAAAAAGTTTGAAGCAAAGATCGTACTTATTATGGCTAAGATTGATATTGAACTCGACCACCATTATTTCTCAATCAAGACAATATTTGTAATCAAGAGATATCGGATTTCGAATTCTCCTGAGTAAAATTGTAAGAAAATAAAAGTTTTGGGAACGTTTAGTAAATAACCCAAACTAAAGGGGTTGTTTACAAACGAATTCTTCTACTTTTCCGGCGAAATAGAAACCAAAAAAAGAAAGGCGAAGTCTTTGTGTTGTTGATTCATGTCTCCGACGATGACATCTTTACGATCCCCCAGCTTCTCGCGTTTCACTTCCTCAAACTCTGCTTCGATTTCTCACCCAGTTGAGATCCGACAATTACTGTATTCATGCAATGGATTCTACGGTCTGTCATCTTCTAGCTCTTCCTCCTCCACTACTTCTTCTTCTTCTTCTATCGGAAGACTAGTTTTCTCATCAAGGAAACAGTTTCTCTCCGTAAAGGTATTCAATTTCGTACATTTTTCTGCTGGATTTCAATTTTAAGGCTTAAATTGGAGAACCCTTGATCCACTTATTGAATATCTCTTAAAAGTCTCATGTCACTTTGTAGTCAATTGGGGAATTAGGCTATGTCGTACGTGTTATTTGCTCTTTTATGTAGTCTTTTTTGGTCCACTGGAAGAGATGTATACTGTAAGGTCTCTCAGCCACAGAGACGATTACATCAGTCTGTGTTTAAAGTTCATACAATGTTACTTTGATTGAAGCTAATTTGCGTTGAGGGATTTTTAACTAATGTCTATCTTTATGGGTGTTTGGTGTTGTAAATATAGAGTGTTATTATATTTGTGGCTAAGAGCTGAAATATATATATATGTGTGTGTTGTGGCCTGTGGGATAGGTCCAAGCGTTAGCTGCTGAAACCGGACAGCCAAAATGGTGGGAGAAGAAAGCAGGGCCAAACATGATTGACATTACCTCGACTGAACAGTTTCTGAACGCTTTAAAAGATGCAGGAGATAGATTAGTTGTCGTAGATTTCTATGGAACTTGGTGTGGTTCTTGCCGTGCAATGTTCCCAAAGGTAACTTTCCTTTAGCTACTTCACCATGTTATCTTTTCGTATATACTCAATCATCTCTCTTTTCATTCAATTTAGGTGTCTTGAACCTTAATGTTTCTTGAGTTTTTTTAAGTCTTGAATGATCAGCTTGCTTCTTTCTAAAGCTGAGACTTTGTTCTTATTCTTTTCTAGCTATGCAAAACGGCAGCAGAACACCCTGAAATATTATTCCTTAAAGTAAACTTTGACGAGAACAAGTCTCTCTGCAAAAGCTTGAACGTCAAGGTGTTACCATACTTCCACTTCTATCGTGGCGCTGATGGCCAAGTCGAATCCTTCTCATGCTCTCTTGCCAAGGTCAGTTCTTGTTCCAGCTGTCTTTAAATTTCAAACATCACTTGTCTATCACGAAAGCAGAGTATATGCCAGTTAGCCTAGTCTAATAAGCTTCTGCAAACATTATGCAGTTCCAGAAACTGAGGGAGGCGATAAAGAGACATAATCTAGGAAATTTCAGTGACTACTCTTCTTCAGTTTCTGAGAATGTTGAAGATTCAAGCGTATAATTAATATCTGATTCTGATTGATCAAAGATTCTTTTGTTTAATGGCTTCCCTGTGTATATATGTTAACTGCATTTTGCATATGGTGCATAATAATTTTTGTACATAAACAATACTCTAACTTCTAGTTCATATAAGCTCATCTTTGATAACAGGCCGCTTTAGCAGCTTCCCTAATCCGAGTTCACTGGGAAGTGCTGGGTTTCAAAACTTGGTTAGATAACACACTTATCCTAATCACTTTTTTTTTTTTTGTAGATAGATTCTAGTATTAAACAATCTCCAAAGTCTATTGACTTTTGTTAAAAATCAATGTATGTGTATCTCGAAGTCTATATTAACGAATGAAAGTAACAAAAGCTACATATATATCACACTTTTACGAAATTGCTTTAGCTGCATTTTCATCTAAGAAAGCATTTTTTCTTCACTCGAAGAAAAAATAACAGGAAATTGAAGCCTTAGGCTCACGAGCTAACTCCTGTAACATCTCAAGTTTCTTATCTGCAGTAAAGTAATTGTATTTCGTCGAGAAATTTGCCTTCGTCAAATGTTTGGCATTTTTAGAATGTAAGTTGCAACTTGTCTCTCTTCTTCACGTTGTCCATTGTAACTACATATTTGCAAATGTATGTGTATAATAAAGATTCGGTAGAGATATTAGAATTGTATATTTACAAGATTTATTCATAAAATTAAATGTATATTTATTATTACATCATTTTATTGGTTTGGACTCAAGTATCCAATTTAAGAACCACGCCTACGAAAGCTAAATCTTTTATGGTTCGAATTTGAAAAAAGCGAGAAAACAAAAATTCTGTGAATTCTCCATCTTTAACGGTCACAAAAAGAAAAAAAAAAAAAGAGATTGAGTTTTGGGACGGCGTTTCACTTCGCCGTAGTGTTCACCATGTTCAAGAGAGACGACTACCTTCGAACTAATCACGACGCCGCCGCCATTTCCAAGTGGCAGGTACTCTCTCAAGAAACTTCTCTCAGATTCCAAGAAATTTAGTGATTCCCGGTTTAGGGTTTTGCTCGATCTTTAATTCCGCTAAAAATCCTTTCGAGATCACTTGAATTCGAATGATGTCTTTTGGAAAGATCCCATTTTTAACTTTCATTGATGTTTCTGGGTTCGTTATTCTGCAGGGTATCGCCCGATCCATGCTTTTGCGTAAACCCATTTCGGAAACTGCAGAACTGCGGAGGACTTATGCGGACTACTCCTTAATCTCTCGAGATTTAGGTCCAAAGGTCACATTTTTATCTTCTTCATCACATTTTCAACTTGTATTCTTGTTAGATATCAGTTAGCTTTAGTGTCGTCAAGTTAAGATCTTTCTTTTATGTTGGAAAAACACATTTTTCAATGTTAAACTTATACTTGAAGACAGATTCGGGTAGGAGCCAGCGATAAGGAAAATTTCAGAAAGGGGAAAGATTGTGTTGGTAGATACAGAGTCCAAGGAGCATTTCCGGGTCTGTCTGATCTCGGTGTAGGTGTTATCTGTCATGACCAGGGACGAAAAGATGCCAAAGATGATGATGTTCTTTTGGCTAATCTTGGTCAAGCTGAAAGCATTAGGTATCGGCTCCGTTCTTATGGTAGATCTATTGCTCAGCAAGACTTACTCAAGAAACTTGGTGACAGCGTGTTTATGAATCCGAGAAAGTCTGGTCTGTCTGAAACGATTCTTCCTGTTACTCAAAAGAGAACTAGCAACAAAACAGAAGAGAACAAGCCTGATTCTGTAGAAGAGATAGAGATCAGTTCTGATGCAGCTGAGAAGGAGAGCAATTTGCTTCCATCTATACTTAGACTCAGCCGGTCCAGACCTCAACCGGTTTCAGAGACACATGATGACATAGTTGATGGGTCTGATTCTGCTTCTGGTTGTGGAGTCTTACTAGAAGATGGTACTACTTGCACTACAACTCCAGTCAAAGGAAGACAGAGATGCACAGAGCATAAAGGGAAAAGACGCATACCGTGTGAAGTTCCTACCACAAGAGAATGTGAGCAAGCTGATGAGATATGTGGAGTGATTTTACCTGATATGGTACGTTGCAGAAGACCACCTGTTTTAAGGAGGAAACGATGCGAGGATCACAAGGGAATGAGAGTCAACGCCTTCTTCTTTCTGCTGAACCCTACAGAACTTGAAAAAGCCGTCAAAGAGGAAAAATCCAAACCAAAGACATGTACAGGCATGAACCAAGAGGATTCCGGTTTGAATCTTTTATGTGAAGCTACAACAACTAATGGTTTGCCTTGTACGAGAAGAGCCCCTAAGGGAAGCAAAAAATGTTGGCAGCACAAGGATAAAACTGTGGACCACAGATCATCCGAAAATGTTCAGTCAGCAACCATAAGTCAAGTAATTTGTGGTGTTAAGCTGTACAATGGATCGGTATGCGAGAAAGCTCCTGTGAAAGGACGGAAGAGATGTGAGGAGCACAAGGGGATGAGAGTCACATCTTGAATTCAAAGCACTAGAGTAACTCCTTTTGTAAGTACCTGACCTAGCAGGTTTGGTATTGGTAAAATTTGTTATTTACCGTATCATACTTTAACTCTAGATATCTTAGATTGTATGACTTAACTACGTAGGTACGAGTTCATCGAACTGAATATGCTTTTCTGTTATCATTGTCTCTGTAATAAACTAATAACTTTGTTTCTTTCGGCCAAAATCTAGAAGATGCTGAACTAGCTAAAATACTCTTATCTGTAGTTTCAGCATATCAACTATTGTGTTCTTGATTTCTTTCTCATCAAATTCACCATTGATACACGTCTGTATTGAGTAAGCATCACTCTTGAACTTAATGGACCACCTTCTCGTTTTTTGGCACATTTGCTTTTATCTACATGTTCTGTTGTGTTGTCTTGAGTTTCTTGACTCTTGAAACCATCAGTGTCAACTATGAACCATTCTAAGACATGGCAACCAGAGAGGTTCCGTTACTTAGAATCCTGAACAGATATAAGATGATGAGTACGCATCATTTCAACCTGCAAGATAGATCTGAGAAACTTTCTTCTGCAATTTGTCTTTTCAAGTTAAGAAACCGACGACATGATTATTATTTCGAAATCCTGAGAATCAACAATCTGTGTCTCTCACTATTTTGTAAGGTTAGATACATTGGAAAGTATTCAATAATATTCCTGAATGAAAAATTAAAGTATTCAAGTAATTCTATAATTACATAGAAGTCCTCGAGTTTTTGACTGGAACTCTGGCACTGTTTATTTGGAGGAATGCTAGCTTCAGTTTCCTCTAAGGAAAAAATGGAATGTACAATCTCTTACAATAATCTGTGGTTTAAAACACCACAAAGAATTAGACCACCTTAAGGGTGATCTTGGAACTAGGTGAAAACGTTCCTTTTGCGTGTCGTCACTGCTTCTGCCTCCATTTCTTCTCGCGGTGGGACTCTTAAGTGCAGCTTCATAATATCATATACTGTGAATCCTATTGCTACAGATGGTACAACCTAGAGAAAACCAGAACAGAAAAAAAGTCTATAACTCAATCCTCCATTATGGGAAGATTAAACAAAGAAAAATCTATGAAACGACTCTCAAACCTTAAGGTAATTGATACTAAGCCCAGAGAAGAGTTGCTTCCAACCTTCTTCTCTAGCAATCTTGAAAAGGGTTTGCATTGTTCCTCTTCTTCTTGTTTCTTCCTTAACGGCTGCATATAGTCTCTCAACCTGGCAGGGAGTCTTGGTTTAATACTACTAAGGATTATTTTGTGTGAAGATTCAAGGATTTGTTTGAAAGAAGCAGAACCAGATCAAACCTGCATTTGTCTCCTGACAACATCAAGAGGGTACGTTAAGGTCTGACCAAGCAATCCAGCAACCGAGCCACATACGAGTTTCAGGGAAATGTCTTTCTTATGTTCCGCAGGGACATGACGTTTCATCTCTTCATAGAAGTAGAACTTCAAACCAGCATAAGGGAAGATCCCATACAGAGAAGGAGCTGATCACAAACAACCAAAAGAAAGATCAAATCCTTTTTGAGTCTTAGAGAAGGAGAGGATCTACCAGATCCAAAGATATGGTTACTCTGTACCTACACCACGATATAGGCCACGGAATCCAGATTCCCTGTATGTCCTCGAGAAACAATCTACAATACCTCTGTACACAATGTGTTCCAGGGGAACAACAGTTTTTGCTTGCGCCTTTGCTGAACCAACAACCTGCACTGCTGAAACCTCTATGAGCCTACTTAGGTTCTAGCTAAGGAGGAGACATAAAAACACAAGATATCTGAAGACGATTACCTGATAAGCCAGCTTTGTCCGGACCAGGTCAAGAGGATAAGTGAAAAGAACCGCGGTACCACCAGCGAATGATCCGGCTACAAGATCAAGCAATGGACCTCGGGTAGTGTATGGGAAACCAATGATGATCCATCTCCTGTATTCCTCATAAGCCATGTAATGAAGAGCTGCATAGGGAACTATCCGAGCAACACTTGCGCCATTCCCTCTATATGAAAACCAAAAAGAGGGTAAACAATCTCATCACTCATGACTGAACTGAATGGAGCTCAAAACGCATCTAAACATACCGGTAGAAACCCATCAAACCTTCAGTTTTGCCAATCTTGTTGATTGATCCTACAAGTCCTATCTTTTTAAACTCCTCTCTTCTGGTCTGAAAAAGATCAATACTTTCATAAGCTTCTTTGATTCCGGAGGTGGTGTAACAAGAATAAAACAGATTCCAATTGAGAAAACAACACTAAATGTTCTCTAGTTTTGATGCTTAGTTTCATGACTCAAGTAAACCTAATTGAATTTGGTTACAAATCAATCTTAGCTCTGCTATTTCTAGCAGAAACACTACAAAGCTAGATAAAATCGAAAAAACAAAAATCCCCAAATGATTGGTACCTGAAAAAGAATTTTAATTCGCTCAAGTGGAGCAACGGCGGTTTTAGCAATACCGCCGGTGACGCCGCCGGCAATAAGCTCCTTAGCGAACAAAGGCATCGAATCAATAATCCCGTTCTTCTCTTCGCCCTCCGCCATCGAAATAGAGGTAGAGAGAGAGAAAAGATTAGATACAGGTTTAATTGGATCTTCTTCTTCGGCTTCTTGTTTTACTCCTCCTTTTAAGAATCTTTGTACAGTTGAAGTAAACAGAAGAAGAAGAAGAAGAAGAAAAAAAAAAGAATTGTTCCTTGTGATCAATCAAAGACTTGTTCCTGTCTGATTCTCACCTTCCCCTGCAAGTTATATATATAACTCATCTTTTATTCTCCGTTTAATTAGTGCAAAAGTTTATATGATTTTTTAATTTTGATTTCTGCTTTTTTCCTTTTTTTTTTTATGTCTTGGAAGATTCCAAGTTGAGACGATTAATGTTCAACTTTTCCCTTTATTTAATGTCTTGAACACTTTAAACTTGTGCAGATTCGACTCTGAATTATTTATTTCCGAACGAGTAAATACAGATGATCAGTCAATTTTGAACGAAAAGCAATAAACTTATTTATTGACAATTACCACTTACCAGTCTAGATGATCATTAACAGATAAGTGTATACTGATGCTGGTCTTTTGAAACACAAGAAATACAAGATCAATAAGAATGTGAAGGGTTTAAGTCATGCTAAATTTAAGTTCTACAAGTAGAGACTTCTCCACCGGAATTAACAAAATTTGTGTGTACATGAAAACTTGGTTGTTGTGAGCTCTCGAGACTAGTCCTGTGGAGGAATTACTTATGTGCCTCGATGACCTTTGAGTAAAACTCCCATGACTCGTGTGTCTCTGTTATGGCAGTCTGACCAAATGGATTCTCCGCGACAAACTTCTGAACATTCTCTGCATCTGCTAATCTTTCAAGATACTTCCTTAGCTCACCCTCAGGTCCTGTCACAAGAAATGAAATATCATTGTGTCATTGTTCTTGGTATTTTATTGAAAGAGAACCAATGTGTGTCTCCATTAACTCTTTCTGCTTCCTGTTGAGTAATTTAATTATGTAAAGACTAACCCAATGCAGAATCTTGATCATCCGTGTACTTATACGGGCAAGGGAAGATTCCAGTGTGTGGCTAAAAGAGAGGAAGAGCAATACCAACCAATGATGAGGTTAAAAATTTGACATTGAATGCATAAGTCTATTCGCAGGTGCTCGAGTACTTACAGGATTACACAAGGCCTTGTCGGGGGAATCGTCAACTAGCAAAGTGTTTGTCTCATCGTACTTTCGCTTTCCACAACTGACGCATGTCCCAAAACAGTCCCATACTGTTCGTAGATTCTTGAGGAACAGAGGTTTATCGTTCTTCTCCTGAGTTTTAAACTTCGTTGTTGTGCATTTATTCTGATCCTGTGTACATATGAAGACTAGGATTTGTGAGTTCATTAGCTGGTTTCTGGACCAATAATTAGAGTGAGTTACATAGCTCGTATGTACACTAAATACCGCATAGTCAAAGAAAGGCCGGTTACATAGCTCATAAAGATTGTATATTGTGTTGTTACAATGTCAATGTCAAGTGCATTTCCCGTAATCTAGTTCTGTCATATGGAAACTGCATTTCTCATCTCAATATCTAGAAAATAGCTCATAGAGGTTGTAGAGATCACTTACAAAACAGAACAACAGATTCCTTGCATAGTTTCTCATGAGAATGCCGACCATATAATCCAACCCACTAGTAAGAGGAAAAGGTGAGATGGGATTAATTGAGGAATTGAACTTCATATATGTATAAGACACCTATCTAATCAGTTCAGGAAGCTTACATGCGCCTAGAGGACCATATCGCTACATGAAATCTCTCAAAGCAGAAGTCAAGAAAACTGGACAGAAAAGGCCTCCTGAAGACTATAGAAAAAATTAAAAAATAAAAGACAAAGGAATTACTTTGTAGTCAAAAGACGCATGTAACAACTTACAAGCGACCACATAGTTGATTCTTTACCTGATCTGTATGATACTTTACCATCTGGAATAAATTGACCTGTAAACCCCTGCACTATATCTCCGAGTATTCCATTCAAATCAAACACCACTAATTTTCTAGTACGACCTTCACAAGAGCATCTAGGTTCACTTGTTTCTGATGATGAAACTCCTTGAGCCTTATTATTTTGCACTAAGACAGAACTTGACAAAGATGCTTGAAGCTTTTCCCTGTCAACTTCTGGTTCTTCATCTTTCCTAATTAAGGAAACATCATCCTTCTCGTCCATATCATCAGTTTTATGATCTAAAGAATTTTTCTTCTTGCTCTTCTTTGTTTTGACCTCAACCTTGCTAGCACCTTCTGCTCCCAAGGCATTCTGATCAACTTCTCCCTTTTCATCTTTTATCTTTTTACTATCATCCTCCATATTGTCAGTTTCATGATCTATTGAATTTTTCTTCTTCTTGCGTTTCTTTGTTGTGACCTCAACCTTACTATCATCTTCTACTCCGAAGGCATCCTGGACAACTTCTTCCTTTTTATCTTTTTTCTTTTTCTTGGAAATTTTAACATCCTGGACAATTTCCTTCTTAGTTGCAGAATCTTCAATGTTACTAGCCATATCCATACTGGCAATCTCCCCATCACAAATTTCCACACCTTCTCGATTTGATTGATACAACAAACTGTCACTATCCATGGTGGCTACTGATTCGCAATTTTTTTCCTTTTTTATCTTCCTCTTATGTCTTTTGCGCGGAACATCACTAACACCTTCTTCTCCAAACATATCCTGATTAGATTCAATATTTTCATCTTTTGTCATTTCTTTACGTTTTCCAGATTTCTGAACTCCACTTTTCTCTCTGGTTACAGATTTTTCAGTTTTACTTGTCATATCCTCTCCCCCAAACTGTAGTCCGGCATTTCCATCACAATTTTGCATGTCTTTTCCCTCTGAATGATCCAACAAACACTCTACAGATCCTGATGGCTCAGGGACTTCCATGTCTGCAGTTTTGTGATCTGCAGATGCAGTTTTATTCTTCTTTCCTTTCTGTTTTTTGCTCCTTAAATCACAAACACCTGCTCCAAGAACGTCCTCTTTAACACCATTGTTTTCATCTGTTTCCTTCTCTTTAGTTTTTCCGAGATTCTGTAAACCACTTACCTTCCCAGTTACAGAATTTTCCCTATGAGTAGCCGAATAACTAATTATCCCACCATTACCATCATTATTTTCCACACACTCTACTGACCCGCTTTTCGTGGATGTTGGCAAAGAATTTCCTAATGGATCACAGACCTCCACTGTTTTGGTCTTCCTCTTCTTCTTTCTTTTGGCTTTAGGACTCTGACTTTGGGCCACAGTTTCACTGAGTTTGACATCAGTGCATTCTTGTTGTTCCACTGTATCATCCTTGGATTTTGGACAACTACTTATCACAACACTAGCAATAGATTTTTCCTCTATACTCTTCGGTTGTGATCCTTCAGCTTGAGAAGTAGTATTGTATTTAACTTCAAGAACATGCTCTTTAACTTCAGTATTCCCATCTGTTTCCTTATTCCCATCATCATTTTCCACACACTCCACTGACCCGCTTTTCGTGGAGGTTGGCAGAGTATCTCCTAATGGATCACAGACCTCCGCTGTTTTATTCTTTCTCTTCTTCCTTTTCTTGGGTTTAGGACTCTGATCTTGGGCCACAGTTTCACTGTACTTGACATCACTGCACTCTTGTTTTTCCACAGTATCATCCTTGGATTGCAGACAACTATTTATCACAACACTAGCAACGGAGTTTGACAGAGTGTTGGGTGGATGCACTTGGTATTCGTTGGTGATTTTTTCTACATCATCCAACATTTTCTCTTCACAGGAAGAGTCCTCTTTCTTCTTCCTCTCTCTCCTTTTTGATTTTTTCCTACTGGAACCATTCTTATTAGCATCTGGTAGTGATTCTTCTCTTGTTGACAAAATTGAGTCTGTATGATGTAGTGTAGCTGCAGGTAGTGTAGATACACGATTCTCGGATAACTGGACTTGATCTTCACTGGTGGATTTCTCTGTTTTCCCATCTGCGTTCCCATTCTGGCTACTGATATGAGATTCAATATTCTTCAACTCACTTTCCTGTTTCCTTGATTTCCTCTTCTTTTTCCCCGATCTCTCCTTTTGCTTATCACTCAATTCAGGATTCTTCTGACAGTCATTTGAATTTCCAATGTCTGAAACTGTAACAGGCTCCATGATTTCTTTGATTCACTCGGAAATCAGCTGCAGTGCCAAAAAAAATCAACCGAAACGTTTCTTAAGTTAAGCAAAAGTGATGACTAACAGAAAAAATTCTCAAGTAATTAATTTAAGATGCCTCACATAAAAATAACCAAACGCTAGCGCTAAAACATCATTTGAAAAGTGAGCCATAGAGAGTATGCATTCAATGTGATCCAAACCATTCCAGCCAAAATTTTATCACAAGAAAAAATATGCACATTCTAATACCATTTCCTCATCACAAGATGATTGGCACTGTTCTAAATCCCACAAACACTGAAATAAGCCATTAACTAGAGTATCACTGCATCAGAGAGATAGGGGAAAAAACGAAAAAATGCCAGATTCAATCGACATGCGAATATACAGCATAAGTATTGGTAACCCAACTGCAATATCAGCTAAAACTTATATACCCTAGGGTCAGATCTTAAATTCGAATTTGGAAAACAAAAATCACCCTGAAGAAGAGACGAACATGGCAATACATTAAATTCAACCCGAAAGTAAAACAAGTTAGTGTCTCAATACCAACCGACCACCTCGTCGGAGAATTTTCCGGCGGGTGCTTTATACAAAGAAGAGCAGAAGAAGATAAACCTCGAAAAAAAATTCAAATTGGCGAAGAGTGTCTCTGAACTTTCATGAGAGGCGCGGCGAATTCGAGAGCCAAGGGTTAGTTAAGCTCCTCACTCAACCTTCGTTTGTGTTACGGTGCTCCGCGCTAGAACTAATAAACCGGAACGGTTTAAATTGAAATCTTATCGATAACCATGCCGGTTTGCAAGAATGACCACTAAATTAATTCTTAAATGACTAAGACGACGTTTAATACCCAAAAAACAAATATGGCTGTCGACCAAAAAAAAAAAAAGAAACAAATATGGCCCATAGATTTGGCCCATTTAGAAATAGACAATATGGACTTTTCTTATTATATAGATGACAGATGCAAGAGCCATGCAAGTCTCAAAATGAGCAAACCAACATCCTTCTAGGATGATTCTGTTAATCAAATCAAGAATTCGATGTCATATTAAAGTTTCTAACTCACGGTTAGTGACTTACTATATACAAATTGTAACATGATTTAAGAAATCGCAAAGTAATTTTGTAACTCATAAAAGTTTTGGATTTAATTAAGCTACTTGCATTTATTTGACCAAATAGAAACCCCATACTGTATATAATTTGAGACCCTCAAGATTGTGATGAGGGTGATGTTTTTTTTAATCTTATATATAGAGAGATGATTGTTTTCGAGTCTCTTCAGTAAAATGAAATCTGAAGAAGAAAGGTCTTATGTCTGTAAGGAGATGTTCTGAAAACAATTGTTATTTGGTTTATTGTATAACTATAAGTGTAACTCGATATTTGAAATTATCTGTCAATAAAATCTTTAAATCAACTTGAACATAAAAAAAAACCAAAGTTGCACGCGTAGCAACAATTTTAATCTATCACATGTTTTATCATAAGCACATCCGAAATACAACTAGGCAAACTGGAGTTACTCTAATTAAATCGGAGACAGCTAGATTGTAACGTTGGTCTTCTTAAATTTGGATTCGTTATCATTACAAATTACTGAAACTAACATTAGAGATCATCAAACTGTACGTACGTAGACACAGCTATTTCTTGTATATATCACTGATTTTGATTTTAACCATGAAGATTATGGTAGTATGGTTACCAACAAGCAAGATAACCCAAAAGAAAATAGTTTAAAATGAGATTACTCAGTGTGGAAAAAGATTTGGCGATTCTTCTCATTTTCGAAGTTTCATATTCAATAGAATAGAATTAACCATTCAATAGAAAATTATTGGTCAATCAATACGTGAGTAGATTATACAATACATAAATATACACATACGTGTGTTCTTCTTTGTGGGCGTATGAGAATAGACAGACTGTCGTATTTTACCCCTTATACATTTGTTTTTTCTTTCTTTTGTATTTTTAATTTATATTTTTGGGCATGAGAATCAGTGTCCAAGTGGAAGCTATTAGCTATGTTGGTTGATAATTCAATTTTCTAATATATGTGCAAAAGTAAAGCTTTCACCTTCATTTTTCTATACGTATATATATATATATATATATATATTGAAGAGTACCCATTCATGCATTATTCAACAATGATTGAAGATCATAATAAAGTGTACTAGTTCTAAGATATTATTACAAAATTTACAACTTGACTTACTCCATGTGTGTTTTTTAATTCTCGAGGCACTTTTGTGTTCTTGATTCTATTTTACACCTAATCTAACAATTGTATTATGTATACAGCTATTTTACATATAAATTATACAGCCATTGCTGTTGAAAAATTAATGGAGTCCCCCATCTGTTTTGACAAATCCATTTTTTTCACAAGTTCCAAGACTGTATGATGAGTATAATAATTCTAATCAATTACTTCAGTTTGGACTGTTAATAATGCAAGTGTAAATTAAACATCAAAAATTTATGTTGGAAACCCAATAATAATTAAGAAGCAATCTAATGATTTTTATTCATCATATTTCCATTGAGTATACTACATAGAGTAGCTATACACACAGATATTTATTTAAGTTACCTCGACCTTCTTCCTATGGTCTTATGCAGATTGTCGTCAATTCAAAAGCGTATTAAACAAATATTTTCAAAAATAATTAAGACTTTTAAAAACTGACTAGTTAATTAACGGGAAATTAAAGTAAGAGTCAATATATCAATACTTTATTTTGTGTGAGTGAAAGGTCTTATCTCGACTTTGGCATGGGTCATAATCATATGATTATATATGAACCTTATCATTTGGCATGATCAGCGTGTGAATGCTCATAAAGTTGGCCGGACAAACATATTTAAATTCATAAATTTGTGTTTATTTAGAGGAGGTTCTTGATTTTCTTTCTTCATCAGTCAGAAAAAGTAAGAGCAATATAATATATTAGAAAATAAAGCCCACTTTATAACAATATAATGTGTTTAAAATTTTAGCAAAAAGGCAAGTTTTGGCTTTACATGCATATAGAAAACAATATGAATATCTAATCAGCTTAAAGTTCTTATGTATAAGTTCAGCTATATACTCATATACATACAGAGATTAGAATAAGATCTACTATCGTATGCTGAGAAATATTAACTAGTTAGGAATTGTATGCTGAGGGATGTTAACTAGTTAGGAATCGTATGCTTCGTTTCTTTTGAATATTTTTGGGTTTTCAACTAACCACGGACATGTAACAGTAATATATATTGTATCTTCTTCTTTCTTTTTACCTTCAAAACACTCTACTTGACTTATTTTAAGTTCATATTATTAAGAAAAGAAAAAAAAAAAACAAATGTCTATTTGAGAGTTGAGAAGATAAAGTAACACTGGCAGTGAAGAACTTGTGTTGCAGATTATGACAACGTGTTCGTACAAACACGTTTTGGAATATTCTTGCATGTCATAACGCGTTTCGAAATATTATACTACTAAGCTACTATTATTTTTGTCTCATTGAAATCAAGAATTTAGAAATTAAAAATGCAAAAGTAGTTTGAAATACGTATATGGTAATTCTCGTTTACTTTTCAATTTATTGTATATCTTGTATATATCACTCCACCGAATCTTTAAAGTTTGTCGCGACTTCCACATTGTTGAATACAAAACTCAATTATTAACCTGTGGGGAAAAAGAAAAATACAAATGAATGAACAAAATTATTAATAACTTCAATAAGATCCATTTCCTGAAAAAAAAATGTAAGAATAATGGGTTCATCTGGTAAGTATAAGAATTGGTTGATTTGAAATTGAGTAAATATTAGCAAGTGAAGTGTTAATTAGTTGTTTGATTTACTATAAAGCAAATGTAAAAAGACTAAAGAAAATCTTGTTAAACTTTTTTTTTTTTTTTAATTTTTTTTGTAAGTAAAGACTTGTATAAATGATTTATTGGTAACCCAAATGGTTTTTTTTTAATTTAAAGAAAAAGACACGTGTGACGTATTGTCGGTAACCCAAATGCTGAAACTTGAGACTGCATCTTTAACCCCAAAATATAACTTTAAACTGCATGCATGTCCTAACAAAATGTAGAATCGTACTTTTTACATTTTAGAACATCTAATATCACAAAAATATTAGGTCATTCATAAACTTCGGATATCAACATTCCCGAATAGAAAAAGAAAAGGAAAAAAGGAGTCGTATTATTGATACAGATATAGCGAATGATCAGAAGGTTTGGTTGGAGGGATGATACGATTTACCAACTCAAGATGATGTTTAGTTAATCCATTTCTGACAAGTGACAATAAGAATGAAACATGTCTGTCGTGGCCTCTTCTCATTGGCCACATGAAACTGTGGAAGATACGACTTTACACAAAATCGTTTTTAGAAAATTCTTTGTGTTGACAGCATATCATTGCGGATTAGGATCATCATCCTTCTCAGTTTAGTTGCTAGTTGCTACAATCATCTCATGGTTTTGTGACTTTTGTCTTGATCTCTTTTTTTTTTTTTTTTTTTAATCTTTTGAGTTTTGAGTGGTTTATAAACGAGTGATGGACACCCCCTACTCCCTATAGTACGTGTTGTTAATTGTAGTATATTATAAATATACCATATTAAGTGCAGTTTTGGCAATTAATTAACGTGCATATATAATAGACTTTTTCGTTTTATTTTACCGTACCCTAAAGAAATTATGTATATATCCTTATAATCTGGAACCTAGCTATATCAAAGCAAGAACAACCAAGTTAAAATCAATCCTCGTAAATAAAAATAGTTGGTATTTTTCTTCTAGCATGTGATTACCTAACGAAATGTTACAATTGCTTAAGAAATAAATATTCACAATTGCTTAAAAATGAATTAATATCTAGTTGCTGGTATGATCAACCTTTCGGACATAGTTACCATGTGTAACAATTAATAAACAATCTATTGTCTATGGCTTAAGAGAAACACTTGCATTCATAGCTCATCCACAACTCTTCGAAGTGAGATCACAATAGAAATTCCAAACAACAACCTTTAACTATTTTTGGAGATCACTCTCGCACGAAAATTCAAACTAATATCAGAATATGTAAAAAAACCCGACTACTTTCGGCATTTAAACACCCGCAAGTAAGTCATAATTGAAATCGCAGTAGAAGAAGAACTTGAATCATGATTTGTAAAGTTGTACCACTATATATGTATCCATTTTTGAAAAAAAAAAAAAAAATGTATCCATTTTTGAGTGTTTATAGACGTTGTAGTAGTTTAATAAAGAAAAAAATATTTGATGTCAAACCAAAAAAAAAAGAAAAGAAGTAAAGGTAAAGTAAACTTTTAAGTGAAATCCACATGATCATATTACGAACAAAAAGTTTACATTAACAAAAAAAAGTGCATATTGTTTGTACACGGGAGGTGATAACAATAATACGAGAGTTTGGGGACGATACGAAACCAATTCCTTTATTAACGTTTAAACGAGATCCGGGGTTACAAGAGTAGGTCCTGCTACGACAGTTATAGATTATCTGCCGAGCCAGGAACCTTTACGAAATGGAAAGACAAACGCGAGAGAGCGGGTGGCTCAATCGCAATTCTACGAAACAGTTGGACAAAACGCAAGAGTGTCGTGGCTAGGCAGCGATTCTCTTGTTCTCTGGTTAATATCCTCTGGATCCCTCCCTGTT